TTTTCAAAAGAAAAAGGTATTTATATATATAACATATATGTATATAAAACCCAGCAAGTTGAACCAAGAAACTACTTACCTGACTCATCAGGATGAAGGTTCAAACTACAATCAAATTGGACCTGAGTCTTCCAAAATAGGTTAATATCCTAGTTCTTTTAGAGATGCAATATAAAGACATAGGGACTTTCATATAAAAAATTATATTGCTATATAATATTTCTTAACCTATCTGAGCACTAGCCCCATAATCCTAAAAGTTAGGATAATGCCCAAGTTTGAAACATTTGTTTAAAAAATTATACAAAGCCGGCCAGGCGCGGTGGCTCAAGCCTGTAATCCCAGCACTTTGGGAGGCCGAGACGGGCGGATCACGAGGTCAGGAGATCGAGACCATCCTGGCTAACACGGTGAAACCCCGTCTCTACTAAAAATACAAAAAACTAGCCGGGCGAGGTGGCGGGCGCCTGTAGTCCCAGCTACTCCGGAGGCTGAGGCAGGAGAATGGCGTAAACCCGGGAGGCGGAGCTTGCAGAGAGCTGAGATCCGGCCACTGCACTCCAGCCAGGGCTACAGAGCAAGACTCCGTCTCAAAAAAAAAAAAAGAAAAAAAAAAAATTATACAAAGCCATAAGATATGTTTATATTAAGGAATACTATTGATTTATAAAATAGTATTTTCATTATTTATTTAAATTATTAATGACCTCATTAACATTCCAGTTTTTTCCTTTTCTTTCTTTGTTTTACTGTACATAACTATGTTTGGAACCTCTGTGCAGAGAGATAGTAGTTTAGTCTGCTTGTCTCTCTGCAGCTGTTGATAACAAGTTTGCATAAAAGTTGCCTCAAGCAGTTTTCTGAATCCACCACAGACCAAGGTTTACTTCTTCTGTATTAGATTATTATTGCAAATTTCACTTGTTTCCATTTTTATTTATAAATAATGCTACATTAGTTTTTTTAATAATACATTTTCTTTAATTTATAGTAAAGTTCAGAAGTAATATTAAAAGTTCCAGAAGTTTGGACATTTTTGTGATCCTTGATACTTATTGCTAAATTTTTCTCTAATAAATTCTCAGCAGCCTAGATGAAGCTAGGTTGATCTTATGTTCTACTCTCTAATTTATTATTAACTTCATGTCTATATGGTTTTCTCATTATAGGATCTTTAATTTGGTGGCGGGAGGCTTAACAAAGGCAATCAGGAGTCATGACTATTCATTTTCATCTCAGCTGTACCCTTTGTCCACTTGGCTAAATTCTACTGGCATAATTAAATTCATTTGAGTCTTATGACCACAAAGCATTTTTTTTAGCTTCGGCTCAGTTAATATTTGTATATTTTTGAAACAAATTATTTTAAATCACATAGAGTCAACGTTGATTACTCTTCATTCTCTTTGTATTTATTCATTTATTCATTCAATTGTTTATTCAAAGACCAAATGCCTAACATGTAGTAAGAACTATACTGGGTGCTGGAGATTCAGTTTTAGAAAAACAATCATAGATCTCAATCTGAACTTCTTTGAGAGCTTTCTGCACATCCACCTTCAGTACCTTCCCATCCTCAAGATCAGCAGTACTACTATCAATGGTAACCAGAATTGCATTTTAGAGATTTCCAAACCTCTTGAACCTTGACTCTCATTAAGATTGTCATGAAATCTCACCTGTCTTTAAAAACATTTTCTTTGAAATATTTCTTAATTTAGGTTAAATGCCTAACTATAGCCTGACTGTCATAAATTGTAGATAAAATGGTTTTTCCCCAGGTTGTCAACTAATCTCCTTCCCACATCTCTCCATCTCCATGTCCCTCAAAACTCAAACTACACAGTTTGGATTAACAACATTCTAATTTCTTCTGTCTCGGGAAGGAGATTGGCAGATGGCCCTCCAATTTTCCTGAAATGAGAGAAAGAAGAAGGATACAGGGCATTAGAATATTCTAAGTATTGGTTCTAGATTCTCTGCCTCTTCCATTGCTTTCTGTCTTGTAAGTGATTCAGACCCATCAGGGTTAGAATTAATATTCACCTCAAGACTGCTTTGGAAGGACTTGGACCAAAATAAAACTTTTAAGTAAGCTTTGAGGAAGCATTACTCATCTATCAGCTTAACAAATATTTTGTTGAGCTCTACTATGCTCCAAACACTATAATAGACACTACATCTGCCTCACTAGCTAACTGGATATATAGCTAAGCTGTTCTTCCATTACCAAGTATCTTTCAGTTATCAAATCTAAACGCAAACTTATTTCTGTTATTTAAATATTATCATATTTGGCCGGGCGCGGTGGCTCATGCCTGTAATCTCAGCACTTTGGGAGGCCGAGGCGGGCGGATCACGAGGTCAGGAGATTGAGACCATCCTGGCTAACACGGTGAAACCCCTTCTCTACTAAAAATACAAAAAATTAGCGGGATGTGGTGGCGGGCGCCTGTAGTCCCAGCTACTCTGGAGGCTGAGGCGGGAGAATGGAGTGAACCTGGGAGGCGGAGCTTGCCCTGAGCCGAGATCACATCACTGCACTCCAGCCTGAGCGACAGAGCGAGACTCCATTTCAAAAAAAAAAAAAAAAAAAAAAAATTCATATTCATTTTACCATAATGCATACGTTGTCATGGCTTTTAAGTTTCTAAGGCAATGTAAAAAAAAAAAAAACCTAGCTAAATGATGTTCGTTATTCAAAATTGCTTAAAGTTGCTGTGTACTAGTTTATTAATGAAGCATTTAGCACAGTACCTGGCTCATTAAAAGCATTTCATAGGCCGGGCGCGGTGGCTCAAGCCTGTAATCCCAGCACTTTGGGAGGCCGAGACGGGCGGATCACGAGGTCAGGAGATCGAGACCATCCTGGCTAACACGGTGAAACCCCGTCTCTACTAAAAATACAAAAAACTAGCCGGGCGAGGTGGCGGGCGCCTGTAGTCCCAGCCTCCGGGAGGCTGAGGCCGGAGAATGGCGTGAACCCAGGAGGCGGAGCTTGCAGTGAGCTGAGATCCGGCCACGGCACTCCAACCTGGGCGGCAGAGCGAGACTCCGCCTCAAAAAAAAAAAAAAAAAAAAAGCATTTCATAAATATTGACTCACTTTCATATTATCAAACTATTGAGCTTGATCATTTGACAGCAATAAAAGTTTTTAGTATTAAATGTAAAAACATTAAAACTATTTACCTACTCATTTTCACACAATAACAGTGATTAAACTATTTTTTATTTTAAGTATACTCCCTCAAATTTTAATATTCAGTGGGATAAACTATACTTTAAGATTGTCTTTAATTCATAGACTCCAGACAACAAAAGAACATCAAGTTCATCCACCTGCCTAGGGCAAGAGGTGCATGCAGATTAAATTCCGATGAAAACTTACCTACCCTGTTCCCAAAATTGAAAAAAATTTCCATTCTGTGACCTCTATCAGATCATTGAAAGCCCTTATATTTGGAAAGAATTCTTTCTATTTCTAACATTAATATTCTCGGCTGATACTGAGAACTGTTCTTTCCTTTTCTGAAATGAAATTCACTGATTCCTCACAATTCTTATAATACATGTTTACATATTTGAGGACATTCCAAGTTCTCCATGTTCCTTTTAAGTCATAAAAAAGATTAAGCATCTCATTTATTAGATTGGGAACAAGGCTGTTGTATTACTATGCCAGTGACAACAGTTATAAAATTTTAAAACTAATTGCATTCATTGCATTACTGGTGTGTTTAGAGAAAAACAATGGGTCCACTTGAACTGTACTATGGGATGTGCTTTTTTACAGAAAGAATAGAAATCAAGGAGTGAGAAAATATGTGAGCTAGTTCAAAATGATAAGGAAAATTATATGATAATTAAGTTGTTAATGTTAACACTGTAAATAATGTATGGAGAAAATGAGAGGATGGTTTTTAAATTGACATTAAAAAATTTGAACTGCAGCTGAAAAGGAAAGTGTACATCAAATGGGAAACAGTATATTGATATTTTATAAACATAATTGATGATTTTAATGTGGCCAAAACTCATTCAATTTTTGAGTGGACAAAGAAATTAAATGACCAGAATGATGAGAATGAGTGAAGATTATGAGTTGCTGGGGAGCAGAAACCCCTCTTATTCACCAGCATATGTCCAATTTCTGTCATAAAGTAGACGCTCAATAAACGTTTCCTGAGAGACCAGCAGGAGGCGTGTAGACAGACCCTGGGCTCCGAACTGATGAGCCTGGGCGGCTGCTACTCTGCTGCAAAAATATCTCTCCACACCTTCCATTGATATGTCACTTGAATCCATTCGCCCTTCCTTCTGTTTTCCTTCCCTTTTATTCAATTACCTTCTTCCTTGTTCCACTACCTGTTACCAAAGCAAGCCCAACTATGTTTTCTGAGAATTTTGACTAACAGACTACAATACCATTTTATTGCCATCAATTTCATCTGGTCCCAGTCATTCTACCTGCTATGATGATATTCTTCTCTCACTGTGTCCATTTTTCTTCCTACCTCTTTTTGTTTTTTCTCTATTTGAGGTATAAATTATCAATGCTAACTAATTGCAAGCATAAAAGCTGAGATATGCATATGGTATAATTTTCCCACATTCACAGATTTTATGTGTCACATATATCATATGCGTGACATGTGATACGTGTATAGGCAAATTATGAGTGCACATGTTATTGTTTTGTTACGTTTTCTAATGTAGTTAAAATGAAAATGCTTGTCTGAAATGTTAACTCCAAAAATTTAGTGTAGGATTTCATATATTAAGAATATCATTTTAAATAATTTAAATAATTTAAATAATGTCCAAAATAAAGTTATTAACAACTACTTCTTTCTTTAGAGGAATGTAATCTTACAACTGTAATAAAATTGTGACATCTTTTGTCTATAGGTTACTATATGTATTTGTATATATGTAGTGTGTGTGTGTGTGTGTACATATATATACACATTTTATTTTTGTTTATCTTATATTTTGAAGGGTCACATGATAGCATCCTGTGATGCCCGTGGGGTTACAAAGCTATGGGACTTTCGGAAGCTGTTACCAATTGTGTCCATCGATATAGGTCCAAGTCCTGGCAATGAGGTGAATTTTGATTCATCAGGTAGGATCATTTTTGTCTACTGTTTCTGACTAAGCCAATAATATTAATATTTGTTCTGAAACTATTTTGTTTCTACTTAAACATATGTATTTATATGTAAATGTCTGTTATTATTATATTATAATATATTACATTATGATATATTTTATCATGTTATATATAGCATATCATATGAAAGAATTATATTCATATATTTAAAGTCAGAAATAATAGAGGTGATAATATGTACTAATCTAGATAGCATAGGTTTGTTAGCAGTGCCACACAAAATGTTTGAACCCCCATCCCTCAGAATCACCATCCAAGGTAAGCAAATTGTATTTTCTAAAGGCAAAATAGCTAAGAGAAGAACAAAAGTTTAGCAAAAATGAACTTGAAATATTTTTAGTGTAATAATTTAGTGTTAAAAATTTAATGAATTACCCATATTGTCTAGAGTTTACAATTAATTTGAAATAAATATTTATCTTATTGTTGCAATTATGTGCTCTGCATTCTGTAATGTTATTGTATTTAGTTTTTATTCCACAATGATATAAATATTATCAATTAGATAAAATATTTTATCTTTGCTGATGAGGAATAGTGTAGCAGCTGATTTTATGAACCACACAATAATTCCAGTTGTCTATAAGGTTAAAAATACAGTCGCATCTGTATCTTTAATGATAGAGTTTATTAAATAATGTATATACATTATTGAATAATTTTTTTCTTTACTATTGTGATACAGGTTTTAAACTATTTTAAGTTTTGAGAATATTTTGAGTCTTTGAGCATTATTTGTGGTAAATCAAAGTTGTGGAGATAGCAAAAACTTGATTTTAGATAAGGAAGTAAAGAATAAATATGAAAAAATATTTTATTTTTTAAGATAGTCCATATTAATTCTTTAGTCCAGAAAGTATGAATAAGCCAGGAGTAATTCTAGAGCCAGAAGATAACTGTGTGTTTCTTGGGACTGGTTTCATAATATTGCCATCACGTATCTGAAATTTAGAAAATGGTAAGTTTGTCTTCTTAACAAACTTTGAGTTATATTCTCATTACAGATTGGCATAAGAACCACACTAGTAACAATGACTTCTTTAAAAATGTTCTAGTAATATTCTTGTTGTTAAGACATTTATGGTCTGCTAGAATTAAAAAGAGAAAACACTGTTCAAAATAAAAGTCCCAACTATGGGAATTTCATCTTACACTGCAAAAGCCTATTAAAAGTTCAATTTTTAATTTTTGACATAGAAAATCTACATTGATACCATAGCTCCTCTACAGCTTTCACTTGGTTTTCATAAACATTTCACATCCTTAAATCCCATTGTATTTTCTTGAGCTAGCGTTCAAGTATTCATGTCTTTGAATTTTGAACTCTGTAATTTCAAAACTTTTGACTGTACTTCCTAACAATAGAAGTTAAAAGGTGCTTCGAAATACCGCACAATTCATAATAGCCATATATTTTATTGTCATTAAATATGTTGTCACTTGCTCTTTACCATCCATGTCATCCAGCCTAAAAGTTATTTGCATACTTAGATAAACATGATTTTAAATAAGTATCAGTACCTGTCTTCTGTCATACAGGTCAGTGTAATTTTAAGGTCCTTGATATAGCAAACCCATTTTTTTCTCTCCATGACTGAAATATACTTGGTGATACACTAATATTAAGAATAGCTTAAGAATCAGCAGTGGAACAGCGAGAAACACCGAAGACAACATGTGTGAACGAGGGACTCTAATGAAAACCCTTTATCAGTCTCAAGGAATATGATTTCAACCCGACCTTCCCATCCCTTTGACCATTTCTTTAAGGAACATACCATAATTAGTTTTAGTTCTATGTGTGTGAGAAATTACTGTCATAAGGATTTTCTCATTGAATAATGAGAAATCTGTGCTTCTATACAAGACAAGTCCTCAATGACTCCTCATTTAAAAGGCTGAAATATATCAAAAGTTGAAGAAACTAGGGAAAGCAAACATAAAGTCTAATGAGAGAATGAAGAAAGAGGTGAAAACACAAATTAAGTACCAGAAATTATGTTCATCTCAAGAGAGTAAAGAAGAGTGCAAATTAAGAGCAAAACAAAATTGAAATAAGGATGAGGTATATGGGTCTCTTCTAATTGCATTTATTCAGGAAGAAATGATTTAAAAGAGAAGTACAACAAAATTGTATCATGAAAATATGAGAATAAAATCAAATCTAATTTAGTAATCTCGAAATACACATTCATTTGAATATATCTTTATTTATTTCCAGTGGCAAGCCAATATAAGCCTATATGATGTAATCATTTTCAAAAAAAGCAAGAATATAATTGACACTATTGGCAATAATGAACATGTACGGAGAGCTCACATTAGTTATGTCTAACCATTTTTTCTAGTCAAAACTCTGTGACGGAACTAAATTGTGCAGTTATATACACCTAGCGCGTTGTTTGTCACAACTTACATAATGTGAGGCCAAGCAATGGTCTGCTGTCTCTGCTGTGCTCTTGGACTATTGAAAACACACGTGTAATGTCATCATCATGTTATGTAACACATGTGGAATTACAAATAGCATCCTATCTGAGATATTTCACATAAGAAATGTGAGTGGTTATTAGATCCTTTAAGTGGCCATTATACAAACAAAAGTTGCTAATAATATATAATGTCTCTGGATCAGTTTAATTTAAGGGCATCTTAAGGTTATGAGGTGTACTGTTTAAAAAGAGCTGTTTTCTTATGAAATGACAGATCTTTATAAATAAGGGATTTTTCATCACTGCAAATCCAACACAGTATAGAAATAAACTGGAAGTAGAGGTCATTAAAAAGGCTGAAACTGTTATCTATAAGCTTAAATTTCAAATTTTCACATATAACAAAGTTGTCTATTTATTAACCTCATAAGTAAATATTGTTATAGTGGATTTATAAAAGTATCTATACTAATAAATAATACCTTATCTGTCTTAAAATAGAGATTATTCACAGAATATTATTTTTAAAATGTAGTTTTGGCAAAAATGTTGGAAAACCAAAGGTGGAGAAAAAGAATATAGACTATTTAATTCAGACCCTCAGGTTTAATCACGTGTTCAGCACCTTTTAGATTTTAGGCACATTACCTATTTTTCCTCATGGAAATAATGGAAGAGACAATTGCCTTGCAGTGTTCTAATGTGGACTCAGAGGGATAATGATATTCTATAATAGGGAACTCTTAGCGTCGTCATCTACCATGTTTTATCCTAGTGCTGAAGGGGTTTGAGAGGTCAACTCACTCATTTTAGGGATGAGAGAAATTCAACATATTGGTGTGCAAGAAAGATCCCTGAGGCTGGGTGCCGCTGTAGAAGGTTTCTAGGGAAAGTATAAATATTAATAAACAAATAATAAAAGAAACAAGGATCAAAACCTCACTTCTATGTAATATTAAAAATTACTTAGTTAATCAGTAAAGTTATATGTAATGTGATATACGCATATATATTTTCAATCAAGATATAAAATATAGGAATCATCTCCTAGAGTTTAGCTTTTTCTGTTGCTGTAAAAAATCAGCCTCTCACACATTTTAAAAAAGTTGTATGTGACACAGCATTATTTGCATAATGTTTTATTATCAAATACATTGCTTGTGACAAACACAGATTATCTGTGTTTATAGATACATACATATAGTAGTAGATATTTATAACCCAAGTATTTGTGAAGGGATAAGTGCTCCTTTCTCATTGAACAGAGAGCCTCCTGACAATATAATGCTACACGTTTTTGTGAACATTCACTACTTAAATAATATCTCTCACTTGGCATACTCAAAATGCCATATGTTTCATCATTCAAAAATTTATTGCTATTTCAGAAAGTGTTAAATGGAATTACGTAGTGAAAGTAATAAAAATGAACCATGAGAATTTATACACATACTTTTCCACATCTCTCATTTCACCGTGTTTATGTAGTTTAGCAATATTTTTCTCTCTTTTGTAAAACTAATTCCAGTAAATTTGCAAAGAAGTCACATCCTAAGTCCTAAGAGAATGCAGAAGCGGAAGTTTGAGCCAGATGGGCACTTTCCAGTAGAAAGCTTATCAGTATCAGATCATTAAAATGAGCAAAGTTTCCCAACATTATATTCTCCACAATCAGAACCACAACAGAAATGCCAAAATGGGACGAAAATGTGACTCCATTCAAAATGCAAAAAGTATCAGACCCCCCCCCAATTTTTCATAACATAATGAGATAACTCCAAAACCTTTGGTTCAAATTTGATTCACCAGTTTCTTCTAGAAAAAACTAAAGTTCACCATTTTTTATTTAAAAGGAAATTTGTAGTTAATTCCCTCTGATAGAAGCAGTATAGTGTAATGGAGAGAACATTTATTTAGAAGTTAGAAGCCCAAGTTTGAATTTTCTCTCCACTACTTACTAGCAAAATGATCTTGACAAAATTTCCAAATATTTCTGAGCCTCAGACTTTTTTGTATTTAAAATGATAAAAATCTATAGGGACTTCCACTTCCAGACAAGATGTTGTAACAAAGACCAACCAGATTTATTCCTAACCTAAAACAATTGAAAGAAACAAAAATGTATGTACATATATGAAACAAGGGCTTTCAGACATGTAATATTTGGCAATAAAAAACAGTAATACCTGAGAGAGAGAAAGTAAACAAGGTGAGCCCTATGACTGCCCCAGAATATAGCCTGGAGAAAATTTCTAGGTTTCAACTCAGGGATGAAGGGACTTTTGGCTAACTCCCAGAGTTGAAGAGTCAGTGGGTAGTCCAAGAAGGCCAAGGGAGCTTGAGTTTGCAGGGCAGGGTACAGGAGAGTTATGAGCCACACACAGAGAACTGGAGATCTGCAGAGTCCCCTCCAGTCTTCAGCTGGCTAAGAGTGAATACATGAAAGCCTGAGGCCAGGAAAAATATCTATCTTAAGCATTAGAAGGAAAATCCCAGGAGCTCACACAGGCCTAGAAATAA